ACTGAATCTGGCGGTCCCCAGAATGCAGCAGAAATTCTCACTGGGCCGGCTGGGTGGGTAGGGTGCTGCAGAGTAGCGGGGTGAGCTCAAACAGTGTGGAAGAGGGTCTCACCCCTGCTGTGCCTGTGCTGAGACCAGCAGGTCCTGCTGGCGCATGGTGGCCCCAGATTTGCCTTTATAGGTTATTTCCTTCTTTTCTTTTACAGCTGTCACCACTGTGTCCTTTTGTTGAATTACTGGGATTTTCATTGTTATATGGCTTGGTGTAGATTTTTTTTTTTTCTTTTGGTGGAACTGAAGATTGAACTCAGGGCCCTGCCCTTGCCAGGGAAACGCTAATTCTACTCAGCCATCTCCCTGTCCCCAATTTTTTTTTTATTGTTGATAAAGTGGGAAGACAGAGTCTAGATCCAAGATGATTAATCCCAGCAAGCCAGCTGTCATTTTACAGCACAGCACAGAAATTCAGTCTTGTTGTGACTGTAAGGCTGGAGCCATGTTTGTTGGGCTTGTACAATTCCTTTTTTCTCTTGCCTGCTTAAACTCATCTCCCTGACTTCCTATTGATTTCAACTTGGTATTCACTCCCTGTCTCTGGGAACCACTAGATGGAGCCTGCAGCTACTGTGAGTTCTGAGCTCAATTAGAATCTCTTCAAGATGATACTGGCAATCCCCCCTCCTGGGGGGTATCTGCACTGAAAAAGCTCACAAAACACTGCATTTTACTGTGTCCACTATTTCAGTCAGCTAGTATATTTCTGTGTGGAGGTCCTTTGGGTCATCAATAGTCACTGTGCATCTGCAGGTTTGAGCTGCCCTTCCCATGCGGTGAGTCCAGGTTCGGGGAGAAAGTACAAGCTGTCACCTCTTTCTGCTTTGTTAAAGTTTCTTTCTTTTCCTTCCCCATGGGTTTCAATTCTCACTTCAGATCCTTTCTGGGTCTTGGCACACATTTCTCTTGTCTTCTTTATCTTGCTATATTCCAATGTCTAGATGCCAAATCTCAGAGGTTCTTTGTCTGCTGATAACCATTCTGCCATCTTTCTGGCAGTTCCAAATACGTTTTCACTGTCACTCTGTTGTGTTTAGAATGAGGCCTTTTCACTCCGTAATACACTCACCATGAAGACTGCCTTTCCACCTTAAGATGCAAGAGAGGAAAGGGCAGTGAACACCATTCCTCTGAAGGGTTTCTTTCAGGGATTAAATATCACTCCTACTTATATTCCATTCACCAGAACTTAGTGACATGGTCACATTTTGTCAAAAGAGAACATGAGGAATATCATTTTCTTTTCTTTTTTTTAAATGACATCAGTTATTTTTATCTTAAAGAAAGAAAAAAAAATAAAAACAGTGGTACAAAAT